CCGCTCGCAGGCTTCTGCTGATTGCAGCTCTGCTGCCAGCTCCCCTTGTGGCCCTCGCCCCACCCCACACCTGCCCACCCCTCACTTGCGCTCCCTCTGCTGGCAGCCAGTAAACATCATGGAGCTCTACCTTGGTGCCAAGGATTCCAAAAGCTTCACCTTCTACCGGAGGGACACGGGGCTCACCTCCAGCTTTGAGTCAGCTGCCTTCCCAGGCTGGTTCCTCTGCACTGTGCCTGAAGCGGACCAGCCTCTCCGGCTCACCCGGCTCCCGGAGAACGTCAGCTTGGGGGACCCCATCACGGACTTTTATTTCCAGCAGTGTGATTAGGGCACCTTGTCCCCTGGACTCCCTGGGCACAGGTAGCTTGGTGGGGTTGGCTGTGAGGAGACCCCCGGTGACCACCCCTGCTCTGCTCTCAGGGACCCCCTCTGAGTAGCTGGACACATGGCCCCCCTCCCTTCTCCTGGTTCCCAGTTTGGGTAAATCTTTCTGAGATTTGGGGTTTAGTCCACAGTCTCTTTCCCTGTTGGGTGGTGGTACTGGTATGGAAGCTTGTAAAGACCATGAAAGATCCCCCGGGAGTCATAAATAAAGATCCTGCAGGGTCAGGATGTGGGGAGTGGTGGAAATCCATCATGCTTCATGGAAACTTATCCAGTGCCTCTGAGCCCCACAGGCCAGCCTGTCCCCATGTGAGCCTTTCATGGCCACCAGCCGCCCACGTGAGGTCCCATACTCACCACTGTGCAGGACCGGGAGGGTGGCCGTAGGGTCAGGGATCCAGCCAACCCCACTTCCCTGCAGTTCGGCTGCCATCTGTGCTGCCTTTCCCACCTCTACCCTCGTGTTCCAGCCGTGGGCAGGGGAGGGCAGTGGTGTGCAGCTCAGACCCAAGGTGAGCAGATCACGTCCTACCTTTTGAAACTCCAGGTCCATTAAAATCCAAGATGTTGGTGTCTACTCACATGGAAAGATGCTTGTGACAAGTGTAAAAAGCAAGTTACAAAGTAGCATACCTTGTAATTCTGTTTCAATTAGTTTTTAAAGATGCCTAGCTATGTATTTTAGTGTAGGTGAAAGTCTGAGTTTGCTTCAGTTTTAGCAACATCAGGGTTGTGGTGTTACTGGTGATTTTTCTTTTTGTTTTTGTTATTTGTCTGTATTTTCTGATCGTTTTACAATGAGGACGGATTGCTTATGTAATAGTAAGAAAAATTAGTCTCGAGGTAAGCAAAGCAGACATTATCCCTGGTTGTCCTTGGCTTCCACTTCCCCAGAGATAAATTCAAGTTGAATTGAGCTCCCTGCTCTGGTCAGCCGTGACGAAAATCAGAGAGCAGATGCCAGCAAAGCCGTGAAGAAGGAGGATACGGTGGGGTAGAGTGGCTGGACTCTCCTGGGGAAGGAACCTACAGAAAGAAAAATCCTATACCAGGGGCTGCACAGCCCCCTGAGATTTCAAGGTGTGGGACTCAGCCTGCGAGGGGGGTGCTCTCATGCTGAGTGAATAGTGTTCCTCCGCAAACCATGACCTTCCAGGAACCTCAGCCTGTGCTCTGATATGGAGATAGAGTCCTTGCAGATGCAATAAGGTCTGTTAAGAGGCCATGCTGCATTAGGGTTGACCCTAAATCCAGATGACTGGTGCCCTTGTTAGAAGTGGAGAGGACAGAGACACAGAGGAGACCCTGGGAGAGGGCCAGGTGAGGTGGAGGAAGGGATTGGAGGTGTGCTGCCACAAGGCTAGGAACGCCAGGGATGGAGGCAACCTCCGGGTGCCGGGAAGGGGCACGGAGGTGTTCTCTCCCAGAGCTTTGGGAGGGAGTAGGGCCTTCCAGCCTCCTGAGCTCAGACAGAACAAAGTTCTGTTGTTTTAAACCACCAGGTTTGTGGTAATTGGGTACAGCAACTCTAAGAAATTAATGCAGCTGCCAATGCTCCCCGCCACACTTGGTATCACACGTTGCATGTGTCCCCTCCCACACTGTACCAATGGAATGTGACCAATAAATCTGGCAGAAGTAATGTTATGCCACCTCTGAGATTAGATTATAAAAGACGCGATCTTGCTCTGTGTCTTTGTTCACTTGCTCGGGGGAAGCCAGTTGCCATGTTCCAAGCAGTCCTACAGGGAGATCCATGCAGTGGAAAATGAGGCATCCTGCCAACTGCTGCATAAGGGAGCCTGGCAGCAGCCCTTTCAGCCCCTCCAGGCAGGTCTTCAGATGATGCAGCCCAGACACACTTACACTGCAGCCTAAGACGGACTCTGAGGCAGAACTGCACAGCGAAGCTGCCCCAGATTCCCAACCTTCAGACACCATATGAGAAAATTAATGTCTGTTGCTCTAAGTTGCTAAGTTTTAGACCCACTTACTACACAGCAGTAGATAACTAATACTCAAGGGAAGAGAAATAAACGAGTTTATTTTATTATGATCAGAATTTTCTCATTTTCCTTTGCAAAATGAACATCAGCTCCTTTTTTTGCCATTCTATTTACAAGCCGATCACACTAAATTTGTTGAAGATTCTCTGTGGCCACAAGGTTTAGATCTTCCTGGACTACCTTTGCACCTCGGTGCTATGTCCCAGGGGCTGTGCTCCTTTCTAACCCTGAAGGATGAGAGCAGAAGCCAGAAGAGAGGCCCAGTGCTGAGCTCCAGGGGTTCCAGCTGCACCTGCCCTGTTAGAGCAGCCTGGCATGTTCAGATTCTGCTGAGGGGCTGGTGAGGAGGGGGCCAGGCAGCAGACCTGCCTCTGAAGACCTCAGTGCTCCAGCACAGATGCAGGGAAGTCCTTGGGTAGCAGATGGTACAGCTCCTCCCACAGGCCTCTTAGAGTTACCATGAGCTGGGCTCCAGGCACCGGGATGTGTTTTTGCAGACCAAGGTCACAACCTCTTTGCTCCCAGGCACATCGTAATCTCACATTGTCACCTCCTCTGAGAAGCCTTTGCTGTGCTGAGATACCTGGTATGCTTTATGTAACCTCTATTGCTAACTTCCCCACACTGCAAAAACTGACTTGGGTCTGCAGCCCCTCAAGTGAGCTCAAGGTCATGCTGTATCCATTTGTCTTCATGCACCTCTATAATGTTTAGCAAATGATGGGAATCCAGTGAGTGTAGAATGTGGGAACTGTTTCTCCATCCTAGAGGATTCTTTCTCTCTCTTTACCCATCTGAATGTGCCCAGTCTTTGGGGAGCAGCTGAAATTCCACTGCATCCTTGAAGCTTTCTCCAGGCTAAAGTGATTGTCTCATCATTTGTAGAATGATAGAATTCCAAATGGCTTGAGCACGGATGAGCCAGGCCGGGTCAGTAGAAGCGGGAGGAATGTGACACCATTAGGATTGTCGGGGGGACTTTGGCATCATGGCTGTGCAAGTGAAGAAGGGCTAGTGATTTTGGCTTTCTTTCGATTTCAGTGCAGGCTCTCAGCGGAGGCCTGCATTTACAGAGGTGCAATACCCACACCAAGTGAAGTTTGTGCCAGTTGTAGGCACCGAGGACCAATAGTGTGTCCAGAATGTTAGGGAGGGTCCCAGGACTGAGTCATAAGGGAAGAGGGTAAAGAGACGAAGAAGCAATACACACAGAGCCCCAATCAAGACTCCAAGGCCTGCCTCTGACAGAGTGTACTTGCTCCGTGTAATTCCAGAATACACGGGTGGGACCCGTGATGGATATTTTGTGTGACCCCAAATTGGAACCAGAAGGACCACACACACTGTGAGGGTCTCTGTGAGACGTGACTCTGGAAGTGCTGACACAGAGCTTGATTAGCTGTTTCTCACGGATGTCATAGCACAGATTCCCCCATTTGGAGGAGGCTGATGATGTCATGGCTAAGGTCCTTTCAATTCTAGGAATTTGTTTATTTACTCAAGGAGATTCTCTGCCTCTGTTGTCTCTAATTGGCCTTTGTCCTACAGATGAGAGGGTCTGGTCTCCTTAAGTATCTTTTTTACGTGTTTAAGACTTAGCTACTTAACAACAGGGACCACGTCCTGTATGTCTTTGTCACATGGCAGTAGTGTAAATGCTCAGGAAACACTCACTGACTGCTTGGTGTAATCCCCTAAAATGCTTTGGCCCTTTCTTCAGAGGGATAAGAGATTAGGGAGTGGTGGGGGGCAAAGAATGACCACTGGCCTTAGAAAACGGAAGTCATTCCATCTCTGCCCATCTTTCCTCATTGTACCTCTGTAAATGGGAGCTGGACTGACCTCTATTGTTCCCTCCCCAAGCCCTTTGTGGGACTGTGCAAATAGCCTGGGAGGGAGAATTACAATTAGGTGGCTGGTCCACAGAGAACACTGTGCCCAGGCTTCTCTGCCCCTTGTAAATGGATGGATGGATGTTTACACAGATGGATAGAGGGATGGATACATGGACAGATGTGTGGATGGATGGGTGGATAGAAGTATGGACTGAGTTGACTAATGCCACTCAGAAGCCCCAGTGTTCTTCACTACTGCCCTACTCACACCATGTCATGTGTCCTAGCGGTCTAGGGCACAGGGCACCTACCCAGTCCCAGGAGGGATCTAAGGTCAATGCCTTCTCTAGGTGGGTGTCCTTAGATGTTCTGTCTTATCAAGCAGATACCAGCTAATAGAACCTGTTGAAAAGGGAAGATTTCCTCCTTACCTTTCCAAACAGGGCCGTCATAGCCACAGTGCCATCAGCCCCCACTTTTGTTTTGTCTTGCCGGCTGCAAGCCTGACTTCGAACATCAGAGGATGCTCTGTCCTTGGGGCCCTCAGACACATTCTCTTTTGCCTCCCCCACTTCTCAAGGCCAAGGATGTGGCCCCATGGGGCACTGAGGGAAGGTGGTAGGACACCTGGACCCAGCACTGTCTGGCCAAAACCACCAATAAGTGTCAATGATAGTAGCTATGAGCAGGATACCAGTGCCTGGCTTCTGCTAAGGTTTTACGGGTGAGTCTCTCCTCCTTCAACAAACACATATTAATGCTTCCACCCACTTATTACCCATACTGTGCCGAAGACATTTTGAAATCCCGAGGCTCCTTTTCCCCATCCTGGAGCCAATTATAAAGATTGCTGCAGGCCTGACCCACCCTGACCAGACAGTATAAACTCAGTTCAGATGCCCTGGAGAAATCAGTCAGAGGTTCCAGGTGCCCGGGATCTGCAGGTTAGTGGGGGGCGGGCAGTGTTCCCTCTCTCCCTCTCTCCCTCTCTCCCTCTCTCCCCTCTCTCCCCTCTCTCCCCTCTCCCCCCTCTCCCCTCTCCCCTCTCCCCTCTCCCCTCTCTCCTTTTCCCTCTCCCCTCTTCTCCTTTCTCTCTTAACTCCTGCTGGCAAACTCTCTCGATAACCAAGTATCCCTCCACACCATGGGAAGCTGACTAAGTCTAAGGGCACACAGAAGGATTTTGAGGAGAAGATATAGGTTAAATCAGGATTTTAAAATATTTAGAACCGTAGATTTGAGGAAGGAAGTAATTTCAGAAGAAATCATCTAGGCTAGTGGTATTCAACGCTGTTGGGCGATGCTTGAGGGTTCCTTAGAGCTGCCCCAGCGTCTGTTCAGTGGTCAGGGAAAATGCTAGCAGCATTCTGGTGTCTCCATCTTTCCCTGATTTAGCAAAAGCAGGTCATATTATCCCTTTTACTTTCAGTAGGTTTCTTTGTAAAATTTCATCACAAAACAGTTTTGAAAAATGCTGGCCTTGCCCAGCCTCTCATCCTGATGACAACAAGTTGGTGGCCCAGGGGCAAAAGGGGGCTTTTCTAAAGTGGCAAGATAGTCACGAGGTCTAGAACCCACCTGCCATTCAACTCCGCCTTGGGTGTTTCCACATTACAAGCATCAATGTGCGTTAGTTCAGGCACCTGGAGGTGGCTGCAAACCATGCCTCATGGCTCAAGATCTTGTAGCCTTTTAAAAGGGGAGCCAGTGTCTGTACACAGAACAGCAGACGAAACATTGAAACTTAACAGGAGTTTGGAGTAGGGCTGCAGTGGGAAGGGAAAGGCTCATTGGACCCTGAGTCATGGAATCAGGGATAGTTTGATCTTGGAGGAATGTTAATAACCATAATGTCTAATGCCATGATTTTATAGATGCTGAAACTGAGGGTTGGAGGTTAAGTGATGTAACTTTGCATGTCTGAGCTATTACTCTGAGTTGATAATTTGGCAGAACTACATACTCAACCTGAAGATAATAATACTGTGTTTAGTGACCCTAATGCCAAAAGATCTGAATGGAAGGTGATGAGGGATGACATGTAAGGAAATGAAAGGATCTGAGGATGCCCACTAGGAAGAAAAAAAGAAGTCATATGCCCGGTGGAGTTGGGAGTGGTTTCATGTTCAGGAGGAAGTGACATACTCTACAAGTAAATTAGGGCCCAATGGTGATGCAACGGGAAGCTGCTGTGGATTCTAGGGCTGGCAGGGAGGTAATGAAAGCAGTCCTTGGAATCTGAGTCCAGGTACCTCACATAGGTTGGGCTGGATTGAAGGTAGAAAAACCAGGAATACAGGCACAGGACTAATGGTTGTTAAGAAAACAAAGCTATATTCTATTTATCAGAACTTGCTGACAAATCAGACATAGACTTGGAAGCAGTGGGAGAAATTGTGAGTGGTTCTTAGGTTTGAATCTTACTGCCTGGAGGAAAATTATGGCAGTGAGAGAAATGAAGTTGGGAGGGATGAATGGGCTGGAGGAGAAGTAGACTAATCTGACCTTAGATATATTTGGTTGTGTGTGATGACAGGATGCCCAAAGCAGGTGTGTGTGTGTGTGGTGTGTGCATGGGGGTGTCCTGTAGACTGCTGGAGATAAAGCAGGATGTGCAGTCTGGGCTTGAGAGGCACTAGACCAAGATTATGGCTCCAGCTGTGGGAAAGGATGAATGGTGAGCGCCTGGCCTATGAAAAGAAGTGTTTAGAACTGTGACTTGTGACTTCCAGCCTTAGGGATGCCCTTAAAATGAAGGAGAAATCTACAATGGACCTGAGAAGGGAAAATTGGAAAGGTGTGAAGGGTCATTCAGCATCAAGGGTTCTGAGGGGGCAGCAGCCAAATATCAGAGGAATCAAAAAAGAGGTTTGTTTTAGCTCCACAGAAGAGAGAACATATTTCATGTGGATAATGTGTAGAGGGACAAGGAGAGGGCAGGCCACATGTGATGTGCAAAAGAGCATGGAGAAGACAGTTTGATGGTGGCATTTGACCCAGGACAGGTGAATTGGAGAGATCTGAGACAGCCAGAGACAGTGTCCAAGTAGAAAGTCACTTGTCACAACAGGGGAGGGAAACTCTGGGGATGGAGTGTGTGGTGCACTGGGAGGGACCACAGCAGATACTCAGCACCAGGAGCCCAGCTCTCTGATGCCCTAGAAGCCAGCTTCTCATTCCTACTCATGCAATCACTGTCTTGGCAGAGCTCAGACAAGGGATGTCTGATATGGGTGTCTTTAGGAGAGATAGTGGAATTTGGGGCTGGGCCAGGACAGGAAGCTTCTGGGGCCCCAGATGATCCAGCTGGACTGGGCCAGCACTGAATTTCCGCTGAGTCTTTGAGGACACTGATGGACAGCTGAGTCATCACCTTGCCTGCCCAGCTTCACACAGGGCCCTCCACTTGATCTGCCCCAGCCAGGCCTTGTCACAGCTACCAGACTGCCCATATCTCTGCTGCCACAACCAAAGGACCCTGCTAGTTTGACAGAAGAGAGAGCCCAGCATCAAGGGAGCTTGCGCTGAGGCCGTGCTGCTGCCTTACTGGGACTGGGGGATCCTCTGCTCGTCCATGTGTGACCAGGACCAGCAGCATTAACATGACGTGGTTGCATGCTTGAAATGCAGTGTCAGGTCCCACGCCAGATCTAGGGAATCAGAGTCTTCAGCATCACAAGGGCTGCAGGTGATTTCTATATTCTTCAGGGTGAGAGAAGAAGTGAGCTAGAGGACCAGTTGCAGAGGCTGGCTGATCACCGAGTCACTTCAAGTCCTGCTGAATCAGAACCATCAGCCCAGGAAGCACTGCTGAGTGAGCCTCCAGGTGAGTCACGGGGAGGGCATCTGTGGGAACTCATGACTCTGATGAAACACTTCATTTTGTAAAAAATTAAAACTTAATTTATACAACAAAAAAAAGTCAGATTCACACAGGAATAATGTTAAGAGATGGTATGATAAGAACCACTCAGGATCCTGTGGGCCAAAGGTCAGTGCTGTCACTACCGGGGCAGACTTGTGTCTATGTATGCGTGTCCTCCAACGCTGTTGGTTTAAATGCAACTATGATGTACACATTATTACATTATTTATAACATGCCCTTTCACTTAATCTGTTTTGAACATTTCTTTCATACAATGTTCTACAATATCACCTTTCTTATTTACTTACTTTCTTAATGTACATGTACACATACTTCCTTATTTGCTTAATTTGCCATAACTTTTTAACCAATAGCTTATTCATGGACATTTAGATTATTTCCAATTTGTCAGTATTATAAAAAAGGATGCAGTGAACATCTTTATAACTAAACATTTGCACAATCCATTATCTTTCCTTGGAATAAGGGTGACAGATGAAATTATAAAGTACATAGAAAACTCTGAGACTTTGATTTGCCATCACCAACATCCATCCAGAATTTGCCCTCCCAGAGATGGGTGTCCTGTTATCTTCACTCTCACCAACCCTGGAACTACCCCTGCAAAGCCCAGGGATAGGAAATAACTTGTCCAAGGTGACCAAGGGGGCAGATTCAGTACTAATGGCCACAGTGGCTACAGTCCTCCTTCTAACCCCCAGGCCACAGAGCTCAGTGCTAAGGAGGGGAGGCCCCTGCCATCAGCATCGGCCTGTCCCTCCTTGACCACTTCCTAAAATGTCTCTCAGTGTCATGCCCTCCCTCCACTGAGCCCTGCTCCTTTCTTTCTGCCTCCCTTTCCCCTGTCCCCTCTTGTTTTCTGCTGTCTTATTTTTTCTTCTTCTCTTTTCCCATCTTACTTGGTGAGAACCAGACCTGCTCCATAAACCTCAGCCCTCACTATCCTTGCCTTTACTTTTCTGGGCTGTTTTCCAACTCCTACCCCTTTGTGCCCTGATGGCTGTGAGTTTCTCTGCATGCTAGATTCCGGAATGGGCTTCTGGAAGGTGAGTTAGGGAAAAGCTCTTGGGCAGGATTATCCAACAGTAGGAGCAGAGCCACATGAAGCTTTGTGGTCTGGGGTTAATACAGGAACACTGGCTTCAGTTTAGATCACTCACCCTCCAAAACACATCTCTCTGTCTATGAAGCCTGACCTGTTTTCCCTCTGGAGCAGAATGGGATGTTTAGATGGTCTCTCTTTCACAGTCTTGGCAGAACAGTGCAGGCCTTTCGATGTTTTCTGACCCTACAGGGAGACCCGGCCTGCAGCAGGAGATGCTCTGTCTGCAGCTGGGTCCTAAGTCCCTGTTAGGTGGGAGGCTGGGAGCCTGGTGACTAGAGCAGGCTGGGAAGCCGGACAGGGTCTGAACCAAGTTCCTCCTCAAACTGTGAGGCTGGACTACACCCCATCTGTCTCAGCTCTGGGAAATGCTCCTTGCTCAACTACCTGGCTTCCTAGAGCCAGCACCACTGCCATCACAGGCTCACAGCCCTGCCACTCTGCGTGCCCCACAGGGCCCCAAGTGAGGAGGTATGGGTGAGAGATGCCTGGAGTGCTGGCCTGGCGTGGGGAAGCTTGGTGGATTCTGGCAGGCCGGTTATAGGTCAGCAGCTTGGTGAGACCTTCTGTGCTGTGAGTGGGTGATTCAGGGGCCCACAGGGTGTCTGCCTCAGCTCTACCTTCTTCTCTGACACCCCTTCTCTTGTCCCCCTCAGTGAGGACCATCTCCCCTGATTGCAAGAATGTGCTCCCTCCCCATGGCAAGATACTACATGTAAGTCTTCCTGGAGTCCCCCTTTCCTAGCAGGGGCCTGGGGGTCCTGGGGAGAGGGAAGGAAGACTGAGTCAGAGGATGCAGCCTCTTCTCACCTTAGACATCTCAAGTGCCCTACAGTTGAGCTTAGTCACCCTCACAATAACAAACAACCCTCTGCCCTGAGGTCTGCAAGATGCCAGCCCTGCCATGCCTTGCCTCCATCCTGAGTGACCCACGGGAGCATTAGCAAGCCCATTTTACAGAGTGGGAAACTGAGGCCCAAAGAGGTTAAATAAATAAAATTACCTGATGTCACATAGCCAGGACTCAGCTTCTACATCTCTGTGCTCCTCTCTTTAAAAGTGTAAAGACAGTTTTGAATCCCAGTGGCAGCATGTTTTTATGTTGACCTCTGTGGCCTTTACTCCCAGTCTGAGTTTCCAGCTCTTACTTGCATTTTGCCTCCTTTGGCCCTGGAGACTTTACATATAGCTCACTACTTCGTTGCCTGTGATTTTGTTTTAAACTACCTCAAACCTTGCAAGAAATGAGATGCCACAGTGAAATAGGCTTGACCTCTGGGGTGCATTTCCTCAGCTCCTCCAGGGGCCTACCCTGCTCTCCACATGGGTGGGCCAGCTGGGGCCTCCAGGAAATTACAACTTGGCTGGAAAGCACACAAATGACAAAGCAGATATCACCATCTGGGGTGTCTAGCCTGGGTTCTGCTCTCCAAGGACAGTGCTGCTGGCAGAGGACTTATCCACAATCCTGGTTGTGCGGGCTGGAGGGACAATGCCTGGTGGCAAGCCCAGATCTTCTCAGATCTTTATTTTTATTGTACAAGTGCTTTAAACACTTACAGTCATTAGCTGAGGGTATTATAATTAGCTGTTATTGAGAGAGAAAAATTCACTGGAGGCGATGGCCTTGGCCCAGAGGTCCTGCCCCCAGAAGGTAAGGAGGAAGCCTCCCTGGGACAAGAACTGCTGATCGGCACCTTTGAAACCAGCCAGGCCACCCATCTAATAATCTGCATGACTTTGGAGTTGCCCATTCGCCACGGTTTCTTCCCAGCTTCCCCGGGAACGGGTGTACCTCCCCAGGCTGATCATTAGAACCCAACCCCAAATGCTGTAATCCGGTCCTGCTCTAGCCTCACCCGGAACAGGGCGGCCACGTTAGCATATTTACCATCACTGGATTTTTTTTTCAATGTATTTTCTTCCACACAAAGCCTTTAGGTGTGGTCTGAAAAGCAAATCACACTTCATCTCATCCTACACTCAATTGATCCCTTTACTTAAGACAGCAAACGTCTATGAAAAATTGGGGTGGGCCCAGAAAAGCTGGGTGAAGTTTCACTGCCTCCCAGAGGCATCTGAGCCTCAGTACGTAATTTCTCAGGATGGGCATGGAAAAGAGCTGGCATGATCAGGAACCTCTCCCTGCCCTCAGTGAGAAAGCCCTGGCCCCCTCGCTTTCCTGAGGGAGAAGGGACAGAGCCACAGCCTGTGGAAGGGAGGTGGGGGCGCAGCCTTGGAAACTCACCAGCCTCTAGAGTCCTTCCTCACCTGGAGGGTGAGCTGGTCTTCCCCTGCCTGGGGGTGAAATAGTGCCCCTACCCCTCACCCATGGAAGGGAAAAGAACCCCCACATGCTCCATGTGTTGATGCGGAGCATGGGGGCGGAAGGGCTTGGGGCTCGTGGTGCCTGAGAAGAGTGGCCGTCAGCCCTGCCATTCTGTCCTAGAGTCAAGGGTGCAGATCAGAGGGCCCTATACGTGAGAGATGGCCAGCTCCTGGTGGGAGACCCCGAGGCGGACAGCTGCAGTGCAGGTGAGCACCTGGGGCCTCTGCCCCATGAAACAGCCATGCACCGTGCACCACAGGCCCTTCCCTTCCTCCAGCCTCTGGAGACAGTGCCAAGTGGCAGGGAGCAGCGAAGGCCTGTCCTAGTGAGGTGGTCATGACGCCTACAGGTGTCCCAGCTCCTCCTGCCCACGCTGAGCTCGCTGAGCTTGCAGACTGGGGTCCTCTCACCTCCTGGCTCTCTTCTCTCTTGCCTCCCAGAGAAGATCTGTGTACTTCCCAACAGAGGCCTGGACCGCTTCAAGGTCCCCATCTTCCTAGGGGCCCAGGGAGGCAGTCGCTGCCTGGCGTGTGTGGAGACAGGAGAGGGGCCTTCCCTGCAGCTGGAGGTGAGAGGCCATTCTGGGGCACCCTGCAGACCTGACCTGGCTTCCAGGATGCTCCGGCATCTCTGCCCAGGGGGTGGATTCCCAGCCAGGCCCACATGGCCTCCTCAGGCATTCACCGTCTCCCTCTGTGCCCAGCGCCATGACCCTTGCCTCCCCAGAACCTGCAGGAGGCAGGTCCCTGGCTAAGGGCCTCCCTGTCATGCCCCAGCAGCTTCTAGGGCTGCCATCTCCATCCGCAGGCTTGCCTGCAGCTGCTGCCTTGCCCCTCAGGATGTGAACATTGAGGACCTGTACAAGGGTGGCGAGCAGACTACACGCTTCACCTTCTTCCAGAGGAGCTGGGGCTCGGCCTTCAGGCTCGAGGCTGCTGCCTGGCCTGGCTGGTTTCTCTGTGGCCCAGCTGAGCCCCAGCAGCTGGTACGACTCGCCAAGGAGAGTGAGCCCTCGGCCCACATGGAGTTCTACTTTGAACAGAGTCTATAGAGGAGGCGGGAAGCTGGGTTCCAGGCTGGTGGCCCCAAGCCAAGCTCAACCTGCTCAGGGCTATGGCAGGTAGAAGAATGGCCCCCAAAGATGCCCACACCCCAACCCCCAGAATCTTTTATTCTTCAAGGAAGGCAAAAGGGACTTTGCAAATGTGATTAAGCTAAGAATCTTGGGGTGGGGGAACCATCCTGGATTATCTCAGTGGGCCCAGCTAACCGTTGGGGTCCCCATAAGAGTTGAGATACTGGAAGACTCCGTGCTGCTAATTCTGAAGGTGGAAGAAGGGGGCTACAGCCAACAAACACAAGGAGTGTCTAGAAACTGGAAAAGGCTGGGGAATAGATTCTCCTCTGGATGGTCGAGGAGAAACACAGGCCTGCTGACACCTTGATTTCAGTCCAGTGAAAACCCAAGTCAGACATCTGACCCCTGGAACTCAGGACAATAAATGTTTTATTGTTTCAAGCCACTGAGTCTGTGGCCATTTGTTCCAGCAGCTGTAGGAAACCAGTGCCACAGGCCCCTATGTACCATGTTTACTGCCAGGCCATGGGTAGCTTGATGAGTTCTTCTGGGAAGGTGGGCCTCACCTCCCTGAGTGCATTGGCTCCAGAGCTTCTAGAAACAGCCAAGAAGCTCTGGGCAGAACCTGGCTCTCCTCTTCTGTCCACAGATGATGCTTTGAGTGGCTTACAATTTTAGTGTTAGTTATGTCTTAAAATTTTCCTATCATATATTTTGCAGTGAATCGGTTATTTGACCTATTGATCAGTACTATTAATGGTGAGTTTCGACACGTCAGAGCAGGGAGGAGCGGTGAGGCAGAGGCAGGGTGAACCGGATGGGTTGCACTTAAGGGCACAGTGGGACTCAGGAGCTGAGGTGACTTGTTACAGCTGGCAACACCGGGTTGGGACTCACCTGAGATCCCAAATCCCTCTCCATTACACAGAGGGTTTGACTGGCCTCTGAGCAGTGGGAGCTGGTGCTCTTCCTCCTGTACTGTCATTCAGCATCCATTCAACATGGACCTGGGCCAGGGCATTTAAGAAAAGTGTCTGTTCACCTTCAGGATGACCCTGCAAGGCATGCGCCGTTACCCCATGTGACAGACGAGGACCTATACTCAAAGGACTGAGCTAACTTGCTGAAGGACACATGGGCTGGACCCACTGGTGCTCAAGAAAAAAACCTGGCCCATCTCCCAACAATGTCATTCCACAAATTTTTATTCTACTCTTATTCTAGGGGCTGGGGCCAGAATGGCAAACAAAACCAAGCTTCCTAGGAGCTGATAATTGAGTGGGAGAAACACTAAACAAGTAAACAAACAAGCAAGAGCAATTTGTATGGTAGAGGGTGAAGGTGATTGGTATTCAACAGTAACATTACAGAGAGCGGTCAGGGGAGCAGTCTAGGACTTTTCTGAGGAGGCGGCATTTGAGCTGAAGCTGAGGGACAGGACGAGTGGGGCTAGAAGCCATCCAGGCAGAGGGAGAGCAAATGCCCAGGCCTCAAGACAGAAGGGGCTTGGTGCATTCAAACAGGAGAGAGGGAGGGGAGTGGGGCTGGGGGAAGCTAGGAGAGGGTTAGGAGGTGAGCTTAGGCTGAAATTCTGCAGTGCTCTGGTAGAAATAATGATGGACAGTTCCTGCACTGGAGATTTCAGAATAAGAAATGGAAGTAGCTTCTGTGAGGTGCAGTTCAGAGAGGCCAGGAAAGTTCTTCCTTCTCCCTGGAGCTCACACCCAAGGCTTCATTCCCCAGCCAGCCAATCAGAACTATCATTACGAAAATTCATGGGAAAGGCACACTTTAGGGCTTATCCACTGCTTACATCTCAGGGTGAACCGGTAGGTCTGGCCCAGGCCTAGTAAACAGGTGACTGGGATACAGTGTGGTAACAACCTCTCATTCAGGCAGTGCCTGGAGCTGGGCTGGTGAGGTGCGGAGGTGGTGCCACCTGCCGGGGTCAGGAAAGGATTTAGAGGAGCGCATAAGGCATGCAGCAGATGAGGGGTGTGGGGGTGTGGGGGCAGGTCAGGATGTTCCAGGCAAAAGAGACAGCCCCACAGAGAACTGAAGGAGATTTCAACGGTGGCTGCCTGTTTTTGTGTCAGCGCACACATGCAGGTGTGTGTTCGTAAGCATGTATGTGTGCACATGCATGTGTGGTGTGCCTGTGTGCATGCATGAACCTGTGTCCACATGTGTGCATGTGTGTGTGTGTGTGCGCTCTGTGTGTGTCCACAGAGGCTCCAGACATATGCAGTGGTGATGAATAGAGGGCCTTGTGTTTATTCCAAAAAGCTCTGGAGCAACTTTTTAGGAGAAGGTGATGTGTTCTGGGTCTCCTGAAACCCAGGTGTTATTCCAACCTGACTCAAAATCTTGTCATGCTTCCCTTTTGACCCAAATTTTCATCTCGCAATCCCACACCTGCACTTTACTGTAGCCCCTACAAGCAACTGCTCAAATGTGGACACAAAACTCCACAGGGCACATGACACATGGCCGTTCTAAGGACATCTAAACCTACAGTCAGGGAGGACAATAAAAGTAAGGAAAAAAACCTCTAATGGGAACCAAATTTCCTGGATATCATTCTGCTAAAGCATACAACCATTTCATAAATGGACATCACAGAAATTGACAAAATGAGAAAAGTTAGCATCTTGCCCAGAATCACTGGCATTTGAGTTATCTAATGACATTTCCGGTTGGATTTGACATTTGAGTGACTGAAAGGGTTCTCTAGTGATTCTAGCAAAACAAAGAGTCTGCTTCTCCCCCAAGCGAAATTCCAATCTCTGCCTCTAAAATGGAGTGAACTCCAGGCCATCCAGTATCTGGTCCCCAGTCCAGAGCTTGCAGTGAGGGCTTTGGGCTGCAGGTGGCGACAAGGCTCAGCTTCTGCACTGCCTTCTAGGGACCAGAGGGTGTGACAATACGTTTAGTTTCTCCGTATTTAGTAGCCACCGACTGCCTCTGTGCTCCAAGTCTTGGCCTTGCTTACAATAGCTGCATCCTTCACAAGTGGATGTGAGTGCGGCTCCCAATCCTGTGAAGGCTCCACAAAGCTCTGTGTGCTCCTTCATTCAGATGACGTTTCCTATTTCCTACACCACCTTGACATGAGGGTCATGCTCTCTAGGACCTTGGAGCCTAGGAGGGAAGATAAATATTAAAGACAAACTCACTTTGAGGATTTATCATATGTGTGAAGGAGCAGAACCTGGGTGCCTGACCACTTCTCCCTGGGACAGGTGCCACAGTGAATCATCCTCTCCCGTGGCCACGGTCACAGGGTCAGAAGGCACAGAAGGCACAGGAGGCTGGGAGCCTGCAGTTTCAGCAGAGTCTCTTCTCCACTGGGACACTGCCCACTGACACCTTCCAAGAGTCCATAGCCAAAGGACCCAACATACAGAAACTAGCCCTGGTCACGGGACTGTCTGCTTAGAGGACTGGACACTCCACTATCTCCTAGCTAAGTATTTTCCAGACTGGTTCTAGGGAACACTATTCCAATGAATGCTCATGGGTTTATGGGGAAAACGGGTTACTGTGATGATTAATTTTATGTGTTGACTGGACTAAGGGATGCCTAGATAACTGTTAACACATTATTTCTGAACATGTTTGTGAGGGTGTTTCTGGAAGACATCAACATTTGAGATGGTAAAATAAGTAAGTAAAATGTCCTCACTAATGCAGGTGGGCTTCATCTTCTAACCCACTGAAGGCCGAAATGGAGCAAAAAGGCAGGGAAAGGGTGTTTTCTCTTTTCTTGATCTAGGACATCCTTCTTCTGCCTTTGGACATCAGAGATTCTTATTCTATAGCCTTTAGACACCAGACATATAGCAGAGGTGTCCCTCCGTGGTTCTCAGGCCTTTGGACCCAGACTGGATTTTACCACCAGCTTTCTTGGTCCTCCAGCCTGCAGATGGCAGACTGTGGACTTCTTTGCTTCTGTAATAATGTGAGCCAATTTCTGTAATAAATCTCTATCTACCTACCTATCTATCTATCCATCTATCTGTCTCCTGCTGGTTCTGTTTCTCTAGAGAACCCTAACACAATTCTCTCTGATTTATTTTCCTACACACCTCTTCCTGTTCACTGTCTCCACTTCAGCCATACCAGGCTCCTGACTGTTCTCCAGAGATGATGCCACCCCCGGGCCTTTGCACTAGCCTTCTGATTGGTTGTCTCACTTCCTCAATGGGGCCTACTCTGATTACTTCATTTAAACTTGCAACATGCACCCCTTGCTGAATCTCAGTACTCCTGAGTCCCTGGTAGTGTTAATATCTTCTAACACACTCTATGATTTGGTTTTTACTTATGGTACTTCCCCTTCTCCCTTCACTAGGGTGCAACTTCCACAGGGCAGAGGTTTCTGTCCATTTTGCTTGTTTATATATCATGAGCACATAAAAGCATTTAGGGCATGTGTCAGGCATTCAGCAACATTTGCTGAATGAACACAGGCATCGATGCACAAGTAAGCTGGGGGTGTGTTGGTTAGCTGGATCACTGTGGGGCTTAGTCCCAGGAAACTCAAGTTGGATTCCTGCAATGGGCCAATTTGGAGCTCAGACCCTATGGAGAATAGCACCAGGAAAATGTTGGGATTTGCCAGGAAGGACTGTGGCAGTGGGTGGGAGCAGTGGAGAAAGGGTCAAGTGCCCGGAAGGAGAGCTGGTGTGGTGGATGGTTTCTCAAAGCTCCCAGCCAATGTCTGAAGCATTTTGCATATATCTCAGTTGCCTATTATTGTGTGACAATGAATCCAAAACTTAGCAACTTAAAACAGAAACAATTTATTATTTCACATTACTTCTGTGTGTTGGCTGGTGATTCCTCTGCTGGTTTTTCCTGGGTTCACACACACTGGGCTGAGGGTCAGCTGGCCTAGAAGGTCCAAGATGGTCTCACCTACATGGCTGGGGGTTGATGCTCATTGTTGGTTGGGGGCCTTGGCCCTCCTCCGTAGGACTTGTCCTCCTTTACGTTAGAGCAAGGTCCCTGTGAGGCAATCTAAGGGCAGCTGTTCAAAAGGGAAAGGAGAAGCTGCAAATTCCCAAGGGGCCTCAGAACTCAGAGCCCCAGAACCCACCTTGCCATATACTATTGGGCAAAGCAAGTCCCAGAAGCAGGGGGATGTGGTTGGAGAAATGGACTACCTTCTGATGGGAAGTGCTGCAAAGGATTCATCCCCATATCACTATGCAGACTTGGAAAAGGAGGCAGACTGATTTTTGGATGTGTACCCTTGCCCTTCACAGCAAACTCTGACATGGGCTGTGTAAGACAATAAACTATTCATTCACTCATTTGCTCATCAAATGTTACTGAGCACCCTGGTGTCAAAGCACAGAGCTGGGCGTGAAGTGAGGGGGGTCCAGCATTCAGTGCCCCATTAAGAAAAATGGGAAAGCCAACCTTGCTCAAACCCT